GATGGCCACAGGCTTTCATACCTTCAGAGAACTTTACTGGGTTGTGTTTCATTGCTGATCACTTGGCAGTATTTCACCTGGCACACCTTTGTTCTGTAAAATTATCTTATTTCTCCAATATTTTGATTACATCTTCAAATCTTTGTTCCATTTCTTTGGTTCTCTTCTCCTGCTATGTGTTGGTTTTCCTGTGTCTGACTTCTGGATCTGTCATTTTCCTTTCTTTGCTCACTTTTATCTTGCCCTCTAAACTCCATGTCATATTTTCAGCCTCTTCTCTGCTGTGTTGTTTTCAATAGGACCTTTCTTTCTGTGATGCTTTTTAATTTGATTAGCCACATTTCAGGTGCTCAGGACCTACATGTGACCAGCAGCAACTGTCCTGGCATCACAGTTCTAGAATTGGACTAAAGGCTTGGGGTTCTGTGGACTTGACTTGCTCCCTTATTCTCCACGGTGCTCCAATCTCTCAGGTAGAGAGATTAGAGATCTTAGAGATCTCCAGTCTCTAAGGCTCTGAAGAGATTTCCCAGAGGGACAGAAGGTACTCACTAGAGGATCCACTACACAGTCTATTTGGCAGGTATGTTCTTCACTCCAGTTAATAAACTGGCATTCCTTGTCAGTTGTCCAGCCCAATTCTGTTTTCAAAGACAGTGACTAGATGGGATATCTGAAAGCTACAAAGTTAAGGGAGGCTCTTGGGACCTTGCTGGCTCCACCAAAGTGCTGACCCACACTCTCGAGTACTCAGCTGGCCCTGGTTAATGCCACACTCTGGTCTGTGCTAAACCCAGAATGTGAGGAGACTAAGTCTAAGGAATGTCTCTGAGGAGACCAGACAAGAAGGACCAGATATTCTGATATTGGTAGTCAGGCACAACAGAAAGGGATTCCTAAGAGTACTCATTTCAGAAGGAATTGAGAGTCCATTCCCTTCTTTAAACTGTGTGTGGGTTTCTGCTGTTGTATTATGGCGCCACCTCTTGGAATGTAAACTGAAAATCTAGCCTTATAAACTTTGTCTCTAGTCACAGGCATTAAGAAAGTCTGAAGTGGGGGCACATGATGGGTTCTAATATTTTTATTCTGCCTTATGGTTAAGGGACTACCTAACTGAATGTCCAGAATCTGTAACAGGGGGATACTGACACCTGAAGCCCAGAAAAGTACTGCCTCCTAAAGTGAGTCTTTCAGTTCAGTTGCTCAGTCATGTCCGACTCTTTGCGACCCCATGAACCACAGCACGCCAGGCCTCCCTGTCCATCACTAACTCCTGGAGTTTACCCAAACCTGTGTCCATTGAGTTGGTGATGCCATCTAACCATCTCATTCTCTGTCGTCCCCTTCTCCTCCTGCCTTCAATCTTTCCCAACAGCAGGGTTTTTTCAAATGAGTCAGCTCTTTGTATCAGGTTGCCAAAATACTGGAGTTTCAGCTTTAACATCAGTCCTTCCAATGAACACCCAGGACTGATTTCCCTGAGGATGGACTGGTTGGATCTCCTTGCAGTTCAAGGGACTCTCAAGAGTCTTCTCCAACACCACAGTTCAAAAGCATCAATTCTTCTGTGCTCAGCCCTCTTTATAGTCCCACTCTCACATCCATACATGACCACTGGAAAAACCATAGCCTTGACTAGATGGACCTTTGTTGACAAAGTAATGTCTCTGCTTTTTAAAATGCTGTCTACGTTGGTCATAACTTTCCTTCCAAGGAGTAAGCATCTTTTAATTTCATGGCTGTAGTCACCATCTGCAGTGATTTTGGAGCCTCCAAAAAAAGTTAGCCACTGTTTCCCCATCTATGCTATGAAGTGATGGGACTGGATGCCATGATCTTTGTTTTCTGAATGTTGAACTTTAAGCCAACTTTTTCACTCTCCTCTTTCACTTTCATCAAGGCTCTTTAGTGAGTCTTTAGCTGTTTGGAATTTTAAGCACTCTAAAGGTGCCACCCACATGCTCTGGTCCTCTCCATCCCCCAGCTGGCAAACTAGTGAGGAGGAACTCATGGCAATTGGGAATTCAAGCTCCCTGTTTCTGCCCCTATTTTGGTCAGTGTAGTGTAGACAAAGCACCTAGCAGTGTCTGGCAAGCAGCAGGCACCCAAGTTATTAATTTACTATTCTTAATTAAATCATTCTTGCGCGAGTAATTATCATGTATTAAAGTGGGGATGATAGATTACAGATGCATTGCTAGACCACCATATTATTATTCACCAGAGTTAGATTAAGTATCTTTCAGACCTTGTTCATGGGCTGACTGAAAGGCTGGACCCTCACGACAACAGACAGGAGAAGAAACACAGCAGTCACTTAAATTTAATGGGGGGAAGGCAGAGCTATAATCATGTTATCTGATACATGTTAGAGGGGTTGGGGGTTTTGTATCCTTGTCTTAGGTCACTGGGCCTGTCTTAATGTTCTTGGAGGAAAAACAAGGCCAAGCTGAAGAAAGCTGCATTAACTACACTTTCACATCAGGTCAAGGTGCCCAGGCCTTAGCTGTGATTGTTATTAATGGGGAATAGCCCTGTGCAGGTCAGGAGAACACAGACTGCTAAAGGCAACCTTGTTTGCTGAGGAAGAAAGGGAAATCATGTCCCCAAACACAGCTCCTGAACCAGTTCCTACCTCTGGCAACCGCTTTTGATGACTGGATGTTCTTTTTTCAAAAGATACTGTGCGTTTCTCAAAAAAAAAGTGACCAGGCAAAAAGGTTCCTATGTTAAAATTTGACTATTTAAATAGATGATCATGGTGGATGTTACTCCTATCCAGACTCCTATTTCTGTAACTTTTCCTAATTTGTATTCAAGTACCTCCGCCTCTCTGCTCTCTCCTCTGTTTCTGTTTAGGCTGAGCCCATCTCCAGCTCTAGCATGGACCTTGATTAGTGTAAAACAGTGAGAGTAACTCTCCTCAGTAGTCACTGGTTTAGGCACCTTGTGTTACAACCTGGCATTCCCTAATAGGGGCTGGTTTAGAAACTTCGTGTGACCTGATGTGGGCTGAGATACAAGGAGAAGCTGATGGAGAGCTTTTGGAAAAGAAATACCAAAGCTCTTGTGAGAGGCCCTTTTTCCTACTGGAGGGGGTGACAGGTGGATGAGAAGCCCGAAATTGCTGCCTTTTTGCCTCCAAGAAGGAAGTGAGCCTGAGGGTAAAGCTGGTACTGCTGAAGTGAGTCAGGAAGGAAAGTAGGTGGGTCCTTTATGACATCACTGAGCTGCTGCTGAGTCAAACCAACCCCTAAGTAAACCTTGCCTCTGAGACTTTTCAGGTATGTGAGCTAATAAATCCCTCCATTGCTTAAGCCAGATGAGTTAGGTTTCTGTTACTTATCAGGGAAAGCATCCTAACAAACAGGGATTCATGTAAAGACCACAGGTAAAAAAATGCCTGTAGCACACACACCAGAATAGTGTTGAAAAACAACAAAGGATTCTGAAGCCAAGACCACATAAAGCAGAGCACATTTGGAAGCAGACGGCATAAGAGAAGGCAGCTGAGTGCAACCCGTGTTCTGCCCTTTACTCTGATTTTGGATGAGCCACCTCACTGATTGTCTTTGGTTCCTCTCAACAAAATAAGTTGTACTGGATGAGTGGCTCCCAGTTCTTTTACCATTCATCATTTTTATTATTGGTCCTTTTAGTGGATTTTATATTTTTAAAGACTTTTGTCTATCAGATTTTTCTCATGTACTTAGACAAAGCAGAAAACTGCAAATCAACTCTTCCATCAGCAAAGGTAGTAATTAGATTACCTTAAATAATTGCTATAATTTGTATTGGACATTTAAAAACAAGATATTTATTATTAGTTTTTGAAGCCTCAATATAGATATGACTTCTGACAGGACAGGCTTTCACGAGTATTGAAAATAGTTTCCAGATCTTCTGTCTTTTGAAGATCTTAGGAGATTACCATCCAAGGAGGAAAATTAACATGAAATTACAAATCTTTTTTTTTTTTTTGGCTTGGTTGTGGTCCACTCATGTGATCGGAGTTTCCTGACCAGGGATTGAGCCTGGGCCATGGCAGTGGAAGTGCTAAGTCCTAACCACTGGACTACCAGGGAACTCTCTAAACTGCAAGTCTTGACTGTTCTTACTTTTTAACAAAATGCTCAACAGAAGTTTAAGAAGACAAAAAAAATGTTGTATTTACATAAAAGTGAAAGTCAATCGTGTTTGACTGTTTGTGACCCCATGGACTACACAATCCATGGAATTCTCTAGGCCAGAATACTGGAGTGGGTAGCTGTTCCCTTCTCCAGGTATCTTCCCAACCCAGGGGTTGAACCCAGGTATCCTGCATTGCAGGCGGATTCTTTACCAGCTGAGCCACCAGGGAAGCCCAAGAATGCTGGAGTGGGGAGCCTGTCCCTTCTCCAGTGGATTTTCCTGACCCAGGAATCGAACCAGGGTCTCCTGCGTTGTAGGTGGATTCTTTACCAGCTGAGATACCAGGGAAGCCATTTACATAAGCATTTTAAAATATAAAGTGATACTATGAAGTAGTGTGACAGGTTTCCTCTGTCACTTTTAAACTGGATTAGAAGGCAGTCCCCAGAATTCCAGTAATTGCTGTGGAAATATTACCATTTTAATTTACAACCAGGATAAACTGCATTCAGCTAGAAGCCAAAGGATCTTAAGTTCTAGTTGCCATCTTGCACCAAGTGATCCTGAATACTCTCAACTTCTGAAATCAGAGGGCTCATCACAAAATGAAAGGGGCTGAATCAGGTCATCCTAAATATCCTTTCCAGCTCTGTACTCTGTAATTCTGTGAAAACAGAGTAACATGTCCCGAGCTGTTTGTGATCAGGGATTTGAGAACCTAAGTTCCATGTCCAGTACTTTTAATCTTCATACTTCTTGAGTCCTGTTCTTACTAAATATATTTACACATTCTGTGTATTTTAACAGTCTCTCCATCATTAGCAATAAAAAAAGTTTCTCAAGGACGTACTTTTCGTTTCTTGCTTTTATTTCTTTTCAACTTGCTTTTTCAATTTCTCCAAGATCTCTTCCGGAGGTGTGGAGGCCAAAAGCTTCACCACTTTTTCACGAGATTTACTACCCTGGACCAAAAGGAAAAACCGGTGTCAGGACAACACACTAAACTTTCTACTGCTATTAGTGACAGCAGACTTCAGTTGCTGAGGATATGCCACCGTGTCCTTGTGGGGCTGTCACAGGTGGACTAGTATTCCTGGTAGCTCAGTACCACTTTCTCCTAGCCATTTCTGGTCTATCCAGACAGTTTCCGGTTAAGTACTGTTTTTCTTCTCTTTTTTTTAAACAATTCCCCAGAGGTTTTACCTTCATACATCAATTTCCACAGTAATAAAAATTAGGCATTTTCAAATTGAGCATAGAATCTGGATGTACAATATTCTGTTTTCAAGTAATACTTTTGTTTATTTTTTAAATTACCAAAACAAATATTGCAATTTAATATAAACTGATTAAAAATAATTCTAAATATAGAACTGCTATTCCCTATACTGTTATACATTTCTGAAAAATACCAAACAAAAAGTGACCACATACCCAAGTGCTGTGATCCCACAACCAGTTAACACAACTATAAGGATTTGTTTAGAAACCTCCTTTAAAGAAAGTAAATTCTAAGCAGGTATTCATCTAGAGGGGCAGAAGCGGCACAGGCGGAAGCACGGGGAGGGTGTTTAGGCCGATGTCAGAGCAAGCGCCCGGCAGAAACTCAGAGACGACCTGCTGTGCAGGAGATGTGGAGGAGCATGGGCCTGATCCTACGAATGCTTAGGGGCAGCCTCCTAATCAATGACCCAGTGCCCACTGGATCCTGGATGGGAGCTACGGAATATAGCACTGGAAAACAAGCAGAGTTGTAAGAAACATAAGCTTGGGTGGGTCTTACTCCAGCAGATTCTATTTGAGTAACTCTGGGGTAATGTCCAGGAACCTGTGTTTTAGAAATCATTCCCAAGTGATTTTGATTGCCACCTCTAGTGCAGACTCTTCTAGTGCAGAAGTATTAATGACTTCGTATGAGCCATCTCTTTAATGAGCGTCTCCCAGTGATTGAGGACATGTTGGACCAGATGTGCTTGATTGACTCACTAATGGAGATTACCAACAACAGGAACCATTTTAGATGTTTCTACTAAGGTGATGAGTTGAGGGAAGAGACAAGCATTTAACCTGACAGAGCAGGTACAGGCATGAACTCAGAAGGACTAAGGCATTTGGAAGGAAGAGGACTAGGAAGGAAGAATTATAGATTTTTGGTGATTAAATGTATACGAGAGTTAAAAACAACTGGTTTTTCAATTATTTTGAAAAGAAAAAAATTGGTGTTTTAAAAGTAATGACTGATGTAGTACTCAAAGATGTTGAAAGAGAGGCCTACCTTATCCAAAACCACATCACTCTTCCTGAGTTCTAAGACTTTGGAAAGATAGCGACACAGCTCTGCGTTAGCCTCTCCCTCCGTCGGAGGCGCTGCGATGGCTACACTCACAGCCTCGGTCGTCACGTCTGGAATGAGAACAGATTCTCATAGGGTACCTTTTCTTCATGAAGGGATATCTTGTAAAAGCTTCTGCATTTGTCTGGCATATAGTACGTACTCAGTGAATAGCTGCTGAATGAACAATGACAAAGCTCATCACAGTTAAGGGAACATAAACATGCCACTTCCGTCATAGAAACCCACAGAAGAAAATTGGTTTTCACCTGCTGACCAAGGTGGGCCCACAGAGTCCTGGGCAATAGTCTGGAATTAGGAGCTGGAAACTACGCCTGGTCTGATAGGAAGAGCCCTGGCAGGGAGACAGGGGAGCTGGGCTTTAGCCCAGCAGTCACTGAGAAGGGAATGAAGGAGGTAGATCACAGACTGTACAGGGCTGTTCAGTTTCCTCATCAGGGAAGTGGCAGCACTGCGTTAGGTTCACCTCAGTGAAATGCCTCTCTGATGTTTTTAACATGTATTTACTTAGTGAACGGCTACACAGCACTTACACCAAGTTTAAGGGCACACAAACACACTTTAAGGGCTTTACAAATAATAACTTGCTTATTCCTATAGTTTATCATCTCCATTTTACAAATGAGGAAACTGGAACCAAGAAGTAATGTGTTCAGGGTCACATGGCTATAAAGTGATGTGATTCAAAAATAAATTTGAATTCATGCTTTGAAATCCAGGGATAATGAACACTGCTTTCTGAAGTGGTGCAGGCTTCCTCATCAATACAGCCTTCATAAAGAGCAACCTGCCTGCAGTCCTCCACTGTCATTTCTGAGAGGAGTATATATTCAAAGCAGTTTGCAAAAGAGCTTGAGCTGGTCCTGCATCTGGGGTTACCTGGGCATTTCCACAGCCATACATCTCACCTGTGTAAACATGGTCACAGGATCCACAGGAATAAGATGGTAGGACAACCCTTCTCCTATCCTGTCAGATTCTATAATTCAGTTTTTCACATTTTAGTATCTTTGAAATCCAGGTGTATCTTATAATAGATGGGAAAGAAAACATTTAGTTGATGTGGATTTTGTCTATCTTACTGGTACAAAAAGTACCTGTGTACCTTACAGTTGATGGCCAATTATATCTGATGAAACATGGCATTCCAACAGTAAGTAGAGACAGCGTCCACAGTGACTACTTAGAAAATGCCGACCAAGGAGGGTACAGCCAACACACAGCTACACTAACATGGCCATAAGCACAAACCAGGCCCAGCACCCCAATTCTGAGGTCTTGTTTTCAAAATATTTTAAAAACTGGAATACAGAGCTTTAGTGGGTGACAGAGACCATCAATAATACTCAGATCAGTGCTTTTCAAACTTTTTTCCCCACTTAGAATCCCCCACCTCCACCAATTTCCCCTGAAATTCCAACATTGAAAGCAAATGTCAACAGTTCTTCAGGAGTCCTCACTGCTGACCTCCCCTGTGCCTACCAGAGATCCTGGAGGAAACTTTTGGGGTCCAAGGAATAGCTTAAAAGCTTCTAACAGGCCAACTATCTCATTTGACAGAAAGAACTGGGCACAGAAATATTTCTTATAGCTTTGACTGAAAACAAGCTCACACAGGTGTTGATCATCAGGTTCTCTCCCTCCTTGGACCAATTATCATTAAAAAATCAACTGAAACACCTTCCTTTCTCTGGATAATGTTTGCACTTTCGGGAACAGGACAAGCTAAGAATCATCTAGGTTACATACGTTTCTGTATAAGTTCTTTCTAAAATACCTTTTTAAAAATTGAGGTATGACTGACATAGAACAGGTGTACAACATAATGATCCAATATTTGTATTTTGAACTGATCACAATATAGGTTAATAAAATATTAAAAAGGACAGTATTCAGTGGTTTTTAATCTAACTTGGTATGCTTTAAATATGGTACACGTATTCACTTTTAAGCACTAGATTACACCTTTACATTAAAATTCAGAATTTAAAAATGGAGGAGCCTCTAACTGCAGATGTGAAAAATATACTTGACCATACAGGATAAATTTTCAGCAAACTAAGGCAAAAGAAGGATGGAGCAGGGGACAACTGATTCATACAAGATCCCTACCCCAGGGTCCAAGTATACCTGTCACAGCATTTTGTTTGGAACCAGGTTTGGCATGGATGGCTATGCTGACACCGCCTTTAGGATCAACTGTCACAGGACCTAAGGGAGGAAGTGGTCTCTCTGGTTCCTTGCTCTGGCTTTTACCCTAAAACGACAAGAACAACCACACTACAGCTTCACAGCTTACAAAATACTTTCCAACGCATTTGATCCTTCCACGATTCCTTTTCACCCTTAACCAAGGCAAATTAGGCTGATCAGTCATGTCCAGGAATTTCTGGTCACCTAGAATGGTCTTCCAACATCTTTCATGGCTCAAATAAATTCTTCCACAAAGCCTCCCCATCAACTCCACAGTGTTTTTTTCCTGCCATGGTAAACCTTAGAGCCGGTTCTTTTGCATTTCCCATTCCTCAGGGGCAGCGACTGTTCATTATTAATCTTTGTATTTCAATCAGGACAATTTAAAGGTTTCTGAACAACCACGGCTGGAAGTGTATATGTGGGGGGGGGGGGGGCGGAGAAAAAAGGAACAACAGTGGTATTTAAAGGACTTATTGTTATTTAGCCGTTAAGTCGAGTCCGGCTCTTTGCGACCCCATGGACTGCAGCCCGCCAGGCTCTTCTATTCATAGGATTTCCCAGGCAAGAATACTTGAGTGGGTTGCCACTTCCTTCTCCAAGGGATCTTCCCGACCCAGGGATCGGATCTGTCTCCTGCACAGGCAGGCGGACTCATTGCCGCTGAGCCACCCGAGAAGCTGATTTAAAGAACTACTACACTAGGAACTACTAATAAGCTGAATTAGGAACTTTCCACTCGACAAACAAACTGCGCACCAGGGCGGTGTGGAGGAGGCAAAGAATGCGTAAAGATGAATAAGGACACATGGCATTTGCCCTCAAGGAGCCCGGACTGCGGACTGGTACGCTGTGCTAAGAGGCCGACCTCACACCCACGGGGCATCAACGCGCGGCGAAGGAGGAGGCAGTTCGGCCTCGGGACGCCGGGAAAGCTCCCAGCAGGAAGCAAATTTAGAGCCCAGTCTTAGGAACCAATGGGACTCGGCCTTGCAGAGACGGTGGAAGGGAAATGGGAAGTGGTGCGTTCCCGACGGAGGGGTGCGAAGACAGCCGAGGAAGGGAAGGGCACTGAATGCTGGCGAGAGCCTCGCAGGGAAGTATAGGCCACACCGCGCTGCCGGAACACGAAGCGCGAGCCTGGGAGTGAGGGAGCGGGGCCGGAGGGGCGGCAGCCACCGCTCGGGGAGAGGCACGCGCGACGCCGGCCCGGGTGCTCGACCTCCGCGGTTGGCGGGCGGCGCAGCCGAGTGAGGCGGGGAGAAGGAGGCCTGGGACTCGGAGACAACAAACACTTAGCGGAGCTTCTACCCACCCGCGGGTCCCGCTTCTCTCCCGCGCTCCTCAACCAGCATTCCTGCGGCCCACCCTCCCGCGGCCACGGGAATTGCCACTGGCCTTGTTCGTCGCACCAGCTTTCTTAGGCATGTCGGCGCCCAAAGGGAGCCGGGTGACAGCCCGAGAACCACCAGATCCAGCTTCTAGCAGCCTCAGGCCGTAGCCTAGGCGCGGCATCCCGGCCAAGGAGGCGGCACGGAGAGCGGCCTGGCGCCGGAAGAGCCCTCTGCGCCTGCGCAAGCAGCAGGAGGGAGCGGCCCCGTGGGCCTGAGCCTCAGCTCGGGAAGGAGGGCGACGCCTTCCGGCTGGCGGGATCAAGACTCGTTCTTCCTGGAAAGAGCTGAAGAAATAAGGCATGGATGCTCAGTTGTTAAGCTGGGTACCACTCTTCCAAGACCCCATGGACTGTAGCCCGCCAGGCTCCTTAGTCCACGCAGTTTTCCAGGAAAGAATGGAGTGGGTCACCATTTCCTCTTCCTGGGGGATCTTCCCCACCCAGGAATCGAACCCACGGTCTTGCGTCTGCTGTATTGGCAGGCAGATTATTTACCAGTGTACCTCCTGGGATGAAAGTGAAAGAGGAGAGTGAAAAAGTTGGCTTAAAGCTCAACATTCAGAAAACTAAGATCATGGCATCTGGTCCCATGACCTCATGGGAAATAGATGGGGAGACAGTGGAAATAGTGTCAGACTTTATTTTTGGGGGCTCCAAAATCACTGCAGGTGGTGACTGCAGCCATGAAATTAAAAGACGCGTACTCTTTGGAAGGAAAGTTATGACCAACCTAGATAGCATATTAAAAAGCAGAGACATTACTTTGCCAACAAAGGTCCGCCTGGTCAAGGCTATGGTTTGTCCAGTGGTCATGTATGGATGTGAGAGTTGGACTGTGAAGAAAACTGAGCGCCTAAAAATTAATGCTTTTGAACTGTGGTGTTGGAGAAGACTCTTGAGAGCCCTTTGGACTGCAAGGAGATCCAACCAGTCCATCCTAAAGGAGATCAGTCCTGGGTGTTCATTGGGAGGACTGATGCTGAAGCTCAAACTCCAGTACTTTGGCCACCTCATGTGAAGAGTTGACTCACTGGAAAAGACTTGATGCTGGGCGGGATTGGGGGCAGGAGGAGAGGGGACGACAGAGGATGAGATGGCTGGATGGCATCACCGACTCGATGGGCATGAGTTTGAGAAAACTCCGGGAGTTTGTGATGGACAGGGAGGCCTGGCGTGCTGCGATTCATGGGGTCGCAAAGAGTCGGACACGACTGAGCGACTGAACTGAACTGAACTGTACCTCCTGGGAAGCCACGAAGAGATACTGAGAATGGTTAAAATAATTAAAAAGAAAAAAAGTGGGAGTGGGCTATGATCCAAATGGCAGAAAACCCATTATAAGTGTTTATACTGGTTCCTATTTTCTCTTTCATTTCTTTCAGGTTTTAGTGAAGTTGAATTTAAAACCTCAATGTTGTCTTAGCTTTTGCCAATGGAGAAGATGGAAAATGGATTTTTCAAGTGTACAAATTAGGCAAGAGTAATGAGCCGTGTAACTTTTGGCACTGGGACACTATAGCACCATACTCTCTTAGGAATGATGCATTGTCTAGTTCAAGGGACACTTTTCAGGTTTTGAATCTTGATGACTGGAACAGGGAAGCAAAAAGGGGATGGTTTGGAGCAGATAGGACTTGGAAGGGAAAAGATTTGTCTGAAACATACTGCATTTGAAGATCTGGCTCTTTAATATCCTATAAGGTTGTCTATTTCCAGGTAAAGTTTTTTTCTTGCAAATTAAAAGTACTACTTATGTAGGCCTACAAGAAGGAACATTTGGTAACTCAAATTGTCACAATTTGTTGGGTACATACTAGAGTAATTACACTTTAAAAAAAATAGAAAATGCTTATATTTTGCAGTAACTACAGATTGGCCAAGTATCTTTCTGGGTCTTATTGTAAAGTTTGAAAATGGTGACATGTTATTTTGGGACCCAGTAAAATATTTTCCCAACTTAATGGCTTGGGAGATAGACCTGGGTTTAAATTCGGCTTCCCACCACTTCCTGACCTTTTAAAACATGAATTTCCTTTTAAAATATTTGAAATGTTTTAAAACATTTAAAAACCTTTTGAAACAGTTCTTGGCCTGTGAAATGGGCCTTATAATAGTACTTTTCTCCTATGATGTTGTGAGAAGCAAATGAGAATGTGTGTCAAGTGCTCAGTGCAGAGCCTGGTGCACGGGAGTCACTCAGGCAGCTCTTTTAATAGGAAATCATGGTGCGACATTCCTTACCCTCTATCAGAGGAAATAACAAGAACAGTTCTCTTTCTCTCACCTGCTGAGAGCAAACAGGGGAGAAAAGCCTGAGACTGCAAAAAAACTGGTGAAGTGGCAGATGGCAGCACTTGTTTCCAGGGTAGATGTTTAAGTAAGGCGAGGTGCATTATGTCCATAAACAAAAAGAGCTTCCCAGGTGGCTCCAGTGGTAAAGAATCCGCCTGCCAAAGCAGGAGAGGCAGGAAAAGTGGATTCGATCCTTGGGTCAGGAAGATCCCATGGACAGAGGAGCCTGGTGGGCTGCAATCTATGGGGTCACAAAGAGTCGGACACGACTGAGCAACTAACACACTTAAAGAAATAAAAATAAAGCTACTATAAGATATTGCAGAACCACTACAAGGGATATTTGAGAAGAAAACATTTTGAAATGCATGTACAATCAAGCATGCACTGGACTACACTTTACAATAGCCAAAAAATGGAAATAAACATATTGTTTATGGGGAGATAAATGGATAAAGAAAAAGAGACCTATGTACTCAATGGAACATGACTCTGCCAGTAGAAAATGACATAATGTGATTTTCAGGAACATTGATAAAACTAGGGATGATCAAACAACGTGAAGAAAAATCAGAAAAAGATACATATCTTTACATATAATTTATAGCTGGAATTGATAAACACACACCAGTTTATTCACTGAGAAACATGAAGACTCGGAGACCTAGAAAACAAGCTTCTGATTATTAAGGAGAAAGCAAGTGAAAAAGGGTAAAATAGAAGATTAGAGTAAGCAAATATAATCATTCCATGTAGAACAGGTAATCATCAAAGGCCTACATATAACAAAGGATTTCTGTGAATATACTGTAATGAACTCCATGGAGAAAAATGCAAATATGAATATATATATATATATATATATATGCAAAACTGAAAACACATTCGGTTCACCTGCCACCCACAACACATTGTATATCACTGTTACTACAATATAGAATAAAGATTAATTTAAAAAAGAAAGCTAGGGAAGAACACACAAGCTTTTAGATGTTTGTTCAGGTACATTCCACATTAAATTACAGCCCTGAATGAAAACTCTCATAAAGCTTTCATTTCCAGGGTAACCTGGAAAAGTTGGGCATTAGAAAATCTAGCAGCCTTGTGACCATTCCCAGCAACAGTGACCTTGAAAGTTTTGCTTATGAGTACCATGTTGTTCAGTTGCTAAGATGTGTTCAACTCTGCAACCCCATGAACTGTAGTACGCCAGGCATCTCTGTCCTTCACTCTCTCCCAGAGTTTGCTCAGATTCATGTCCACTGAGTCGATGATGCTATCTATCTCTTCTACTGCCGCCCCCTTCTCCTTTTCCCTTCAGTTTTTCCCAGCATCAGGGTCTTTTCCATGAGTCAGCTCTTCACATCAAGTGGCCAAAGTAATGGAGCTTCAGCTTCAGCAACAGTCCTTCCAGTGAATATTCAGGGTTGATTTCCTTTAGGATTGACTGGTTTGATCTCCTTGCTGTCCAACGGACTCTCAAGAGTCTCCTCCAGCACCACAGTTTGAAAACATTAATTCTTCGGTGCTCTGCCTTATTTATCATCCAGCTCTCATATCCGTACATGACTACTGAGAAAACTACAGCCTTGACTATATGGACCTTTGTCGGCAAAGTGATATCTTTGCTTTTTAATACACTGTGTAGGTTTCTCATAGCTTTCCTGCCAAGAAGCAATCGTCTTCTAATTTCATGGCTGCCGTCACCATCTGGAGTGATTTTAGAGCCCAGGATGAGGAAATCTGTCACTGCTTTCACCTTTTCCCCTTCTATTTGCCACGAAGTAATAGGATCAGATGCCATGATCTTTGTTGTTGTTCAGTTGCTCAGTTGTGTCTGAGTTTGTGACCCCATGGACTGTAGCACACCAGGCTTTCATGTCCTTTACCATCTTCCAGAGCTCAAACCCACATCTGTTCAGTTGGTGATGCCATCCAACCATCTCCTCCTCTGTCATCCTCTTCTCCTCCTGTCTTCTAATTTTCCCAGCATCAGGGTCTTTTCCAGTGACTTGGGTCTTTGTGTCAGGTGACCAAAGTATTGAAGGTTCAGCTTTGCTTCAGTCCTTCCAATGAATATTCAGTGTTGATTTCCTTAGGATTGACTGGTTTGATCTCTTCACAGTCCAAGGGACTCTCAAGAGTCTTCTCCAGCACCACAGTTTGAAAGCATCAATTCCTTGGTGCTCAGCCTTCATTATGGTCCAGCTATCATATCCATATGTGACTACAGGAAAAACCATAGCTTTGACTATATGAACCTTTGTCAGCAAAGTAATGTCTCTGCTTTCTAATATACTGTCTAGGTTTGTCATAGCTTTTCTTCCAAGGAGCAAACATCTTTTCATTTCATGGCTGCAATCACTGTGATCTTAAGTTTTTTTAATATTGAGTTTTAAGTTGGCTTTTTCACTTTCTTCCTTCACCCTCATCAAGAGGCTCTTTAATTCCTCTTTGCTGTCTGCCATTAGAGTGGTATCATCTGCATATCTGCAGTTGTTTATATTTCTCCCAGCAATCTTGATTCCAGCTTGTAACTCATCCAGCCTGGCATTTTTCACAATGTGCCAGCATATAGTTTAAATAAACAGGGTGACAGCAGACAGCCATGTGGTACCCCATTCTCAATCCTGAACCAATCAGTTGTTTCATATAGTATTCTAACTTGCTTCTTGACCTGCATACAGGTTTCTCAGGAGACAGGTAAGATGGTCTGGTATTCTCATCTCTTTAAGAATTTTCCACAGTTTGTTATGATCCACACAGTCAAAGGCTCTAGTATAGTCAATGAAACAGAAGTAGATGTTTTTCTGGAATTCCCTTGCTTTCTCTATGATCCAGAAAATGTTGGCAGTTTGATTTCTGGTTCCCCTGCCTTTTCTAAACCCAGCTTGAATATCTGGAAGTTCTTGGTTCACGAACTGCTGAAGCCTAGCTTGGAGGATTTTGTGCATAACCTTACTAGCATGGGAGATGAGTGCAACTGTCCAGTAGTTTGAACATTCCTTAGTACTGCCATTCTTGGGGTTTGGGATGAGGACTGACCTTTGCCAGTCCTGTGGCCTCTGCTAGGTTTTCCAAATTTGCCGACATATTGACTGCAGCACTTTAATAGCATCATCCTTTAGGACTTTAAATAACTCTGCTGGAATTCCATTCCCTCCACTAGATTTATTGGCAGCATTGTTTCCTAAGGCACACTTGACGTCACACTCCAGGATGCCTGACTCTGAGTGAGAGACTACACTATCATGGTTATCCAGATCACTAAGATCTTTTGTGTAAAGTTCTTCAGTATATTCTTTCCATCTCTTCTTGATCTCTTCTGCTTCTATTAGGTCATTACCAGTTCTGTCCTTTATTGTGCCCATCTTTGAATGAAATGTTCCTTTGATATTTCCAATTTTCTATGGCTACCGACAAAAAAAATCACCTGTCTATGCACCCACTAGATTAGGCACCAAGTTTGCCACAAAACTTCCTGTTCATAATCCAGCACTAGCCCCCAAAATAAGGCAATCACGAACATGCGCTGCTGCAGAAGAACTATCCTTAAATAGTTTGCTCTAAAAAAATTCTCCATGACATCCTCAGGAAGCGCTTGTCCCAGATACGTGGCCAGGCAGCTGTCAGGTGTCCCCTATGCTCCATCCTGCACCCCCTCCACACAGCAGACTCACTGGACTCCATCACCTCATTTCAGAACAGGAATAATTTGTTTCTATGAATATGATTTTAATAATATTCCATAAGTATTCAGTCATCAAAGTTTTCTCCAAATCAGGAAAAAATCCAAAGTAATCAGCAAATATTTTGTGTGTATATATATATGTATATAGACACATATAATTTAAAAACTCCCTTTCCGCAATTTAGTTCTGACTTCTAAGTGATGGAAGCAGTGAAGGACTCAGTGTCGAAGCACACTGTGATAAGACTTTTTCAGGGCAATCAGTTTCTTGTGAATTATTCATCAGGCTTGCTCCAATTCCACAAGGACTCCACCACAGACACTAGGATGGAGAAGATCACTGGTTTTCTTTTTTTTTTTTTAATTATTTTATTTATTTATTTTTTCATTTATTTTTATTAGTTGGAGGCTAATTACTTTACAATATTGTAGTGGTTTTTGTCATACATTGACATGAATCAGCCATGGATTTACATGTATTCCCCATCCCGATCCCCCCTCCCACCTCCCTCTCTACCCGATCCCTCTGGGTCTTCCCAGTGCACCAGGCCCAAGCACTTGTCTCATGCATCCAACCTGGGCTGGAGATCACTGGTTTTCTATGTGCTCCTATTTTGGCCTCTTCACTTAGAATACAAATCTGGTCTTTCAAATTCATCACAGCTGCATTTATAGTATCCACCTTGAGAAAAGGAAATAAACAAGAACACATCTGAAATCATAAAAACACCAAATTATAGTATCTTAAGACTTAGAGAAACTGCAAACTCGTGTGTCTAACTCCTCTGCCTTTAGGCAGAACCATTCTTTACCATCACAAAAATAAGCTTAATACTTCTAGAGACCCAAAAGGAGGTTGCTAAATTTTCCTAGGTGAGGAACCACATGCTTAAGAATTTTCTCCATTAGTAAACATTTCTCCTTAGGGCCTAAATGATGTCTGCTCCACTTCATAGCATGTTCTTGTGGCAACACTATTGATGATTCTTCACAAATTATTTTTCCTAAGAGCTTTGGGTTCCTCATTTGTAAGAGGGAGATGAGGCCTGCCATATAAATGGCTGAGATCAAAATGAGGTAACAGATAAGAAGCTCTTAGCACAGTTTATAGAAGGTACTCAACAAATACGAGTGCTTCTCTGATCTCCAAACCTCCCATCTGCCAAACTGTCTGGATAGTACTTTTATTTTGTCTGTGCAGTGTGGCATGTGGGATCTTAGTTCCCCGATTCGGGAACTGTGAGCATTTCCAGGGAGTTACTGAGCAAGAGGGAGGGTTTGTGCTGTTCTGTGCTTAGTCGCTCAGTCATGTCCAACTCTTTGTGACCCCTTGGACTGCAGCATGCCAGGCTTCTCTGTCCTTCACTATCTCCTGGAGTTTGCTCAAACTCATGTCCATTGAGTTACTGCTGCCATCCAACCATCTTTTCCTCTGTCTCCCCCTTCTCCTCCTGCCTTCAATCTTTCCTAGCATCAGGGTCTTTTCCGATGAGTCAGCTCTTTGCATCAGGTGGACAAAGTATTGGAGCTTCAGCTTCAGTCTCAGTCCTTCCAATGAATATTCAGGATTGATTTCTTTTAGGATTGATTGGTTTGATCTCCTTGCTGTCCAAGGAACTCTCAAGAGTCTCCTCCAGCACCACACTTTGAAAGCATAGTGCTCAACCTTCGGTGCTCAGCCTTCCTTACGGTCCAAGTCTCACATCCGCACATGACTACTGGATAGCTTGAGCTGGCCCAACCAAATCTTTGTTTATCACTTCATGTTGTTCATATGTGTACCTGATCTCAAGCCCATCTTTAACATGCTTACTTGTATGCTCTGTATAACAGCAAAGTGCCTTTAAAACTTTATTTTTAAAAATATTTAAATAGTGCTCGCTTCGGCAGCACATATACTAAAATTGGAACGATACAGAGAAGATTAGCATGGCCCCTGCGCAAGGATGACACGCAAATTCGTGAAGCGTTCCATATTTTTGTTCATCGCAGCACTGTTTATAATAGCCAGGACATGGAAGCAACCTAGATGCCCATCAGCAGACAAATGGATGAGGAAACTGTGGTACATATACACCATGGAATATTACTCAGCCATTAAAAAGAATTCATTTGAATCAGTTCTAATGAGATGGATGAAACTGGAGCCCATTATACAGAGCGAAGTAAGCCAGAAAGATAAAGACCATTACAGTATACTAACACATATATATGGAATTTAGAAAGATGGTAACGATAACCCTATATGCAAAACAGAAAAAGAGACTCCGATGTATAGAACAGACTTGTGGACTCTGGGAGAAGGCGAGGGTGGGATGTTTCAAGAGAACAGCATCGAAACACGTATATTATCTAGGGTGAAACAGATCACCAGCCCAGGTTGGGTGCATGAGACAAGTGCTCGGGCCTGGTGCACTGGGAAGACCCAGAGGGATCGGGTGGAGAGGGAGGTGGGAGGGGGGACGGGGATGGGGAATACATGTAAATCCATGGCTAATTCATTTCAATGTATGACAAAAACCACTGCAATGATGTAAAGTAATTAGCCTCCAACTAATAAAAATAAATGAAAAAAATAAAAAATAAAAAAATAAAAATATTTAAATAATGTCATTAATCTTATGGGGAGATAATAAATGATTACTAATTGGATTTATGTCTAATTATTCTCATTTTAAAGATGAAGAGTCTGGTGCACAGAGTGATTAATTTTCTTGAGGTCATAAGGAATCCATGAGTATAATTTGTGAGATATTTTGAGTTTCCCACATAAATAATATCATGAAAAAAAAAAGACCTGTGCTTACACCACCCCCTCCCCACACACAACTAAATGACAACAAAAAGGCTCAAAGGAGGTATAACAAGCAAAGGCAATATGTGCCTATTATTGGGATTTTCATTCAAAGAAAGACCCTATAAAAACTAGAGAAGAACAAATTTGAATATCTACTAGATATTTCATGTTATTAAAGGATTACCATTAATTTTGTCTTAGGAGCCATTATGATTTTGTATAAATATGTACAAGATGCAATAAACACACACATACAACTGAACAATTTATGGATTAAATTACATAAGGCCTAGAAATGGCTTTACAGTGACATAGGAAGAGGGAAGTGCAGAAACTAACACAACATTGTAAAGCAACTATACTCCAATTAAAAAAAAATATGAAAGAAGTTCATTATCATTTTCCATAGCACTAGTCAAATAGAAGTTCCTTCATATGCATCTTCTTTCTATATACATGTAAGTTATTTTTTTTTGAAAGGCAACTTTTCAAAAGTGTTTATTAGAATGCACACTTACTTTGCTATAAGTAAAAGAAAATACAGTTAAGCTTAAATCTACTAGCCTCATTAGCATGCAATTCTTCTCCAAGACTGTCAAATTTTCAAATAATTATTTGCAAAATGGTTATTTACAGTGAATTGCCAATCATACCAAGGCCCCGGGTTTTTCAGAGAAGTGTCACCAGATTCAACCGCCCCTGTGAAATGCACTTGGGTCACTGACCCTCGCCGCTGGGCTGTCCCAACCACTGGCTGCAGCTGTCTGCACTTGCCGGCGTATACCAGAGCCCTATGACTGACTGAAACCACCTGGGGAGGGGCAACAGTCTCAGGGACCACCCCCACAGGAGCAGATCCAGAGCAAGCAGGTGAAGGACCCAAGCTCTGCTGGGGGCTGCGTGTCTGTTGGGAGCCCTGGCTGCCAATCAGCCTCAACAAGATTTCCTCGGCATTTACTACGGCATCTGACGGGTGAACAGGAGTGGCCGGGACTTCATGCATAATTGAACGCATGGGGAACTGACTCACGTTCTGACTTGGGGGCTGCACAGATGCCTTTGCTCTCAGCCCCTCACTTTCTTCTCCAGGGCCAGCCAGAATCTTACCTCCTCTTGGGGCCAATTGGGCCTTTCCTCCGAGGTCTTGGTCTTGGTCTTGAAGCTCCTCTGGGTGTCGGCAGGGTGCTTGGTCTCGGGGGTTCAGCGACTTGGACCTGCCCTCGTGTTTGGGCCTGCCCTCACGTCTGCTGGGGCCATGGCCGGCCTGGGCGGGCGGGCAGGCCTTAGGGGAGTTGCCGGGCCCCGGCTCCATCCACTCCTCCACCGCCTCCTGGCACTCATCCATCTCCAGGTGGTTCGCATCATGGGCCAGGTAACCCTGCCCGTTGCAGTCCGTGCCCTGCAGGTAGCTGTCTCCTCGGGGCAGTAGCGGATGTAGTAGGTGATGCCCTCCTCCTCTTCGGGCAGCCCCGCGTCGTAGTCCTTCTCCTCCGAGGTGTTGTTCACGTAGTCAGAGCTGGAGTCGCTGTCGGGGCTCTGGTCGGGGCTGCCCTGCTCAGCAGACGCAGGCTCTTGGGCCACAGGGCTGCCAGCTCCAGGCTGGTGGGCATGTACTGCTCCAGGGTCAGCTCCGGGTCCTCGCTCTCGGGATCCAGGCCCTGTCTTGCCCTGTGGGCCAGCAGGCTGCTCGCAGCACTCTGACGCTTCAGGTGGGCCATGGCGGGGCTCACGTGGCCATCGTCACCAGGAGGCAGCCACTGCGGTCAGGAAGGGGGACAGGAGAGTCAGAACCTGGCCCCAAACAGCCAACCCAAGGAGCACGCCCAGGAGAAGTAACTCGTGTCTATTCAAATGACAGGACACCCCTCCTCAGCTGACTCTGGTGTCAGGACCAGCACATGCCCTGCAAAGAGACAGGAGGGCACCAGGGCTGGAGGAGGAAAAGGGGACCTTGGGAACTTCCCAGGACACCTGCTACTTCCCCTCAACTCCCTGCTCATTCATGAATCCTCTCTTTGATTTAATCAGCATATAGTTAACTTACAGTGCTGTGTTAGTTTCTGGTGTACAGCAAAGTGCTTCAGTTATATACATCTGTGTGTGTGTGTGTGTGTGTGTGTACACACACATATTCTTTTTCAGATCCTTTTTGAATAGCTCCCTGTGCTGTACTGCAGGTCTTTGTTGACTGTCTAATTTATATACAGTAGTGTGTATCTGTTAATACCAAACTATTTATTCCTCTCCCCAGCCTTTCCCTTTGGTAACCATGGTTTATTTTCTATGTCTGTGAATCCGTTTCTGTTCTGTAAATAAGTTCATTTATATCTTTTTTAGATATGATGATACTATATGATATTTGTTTTTTATTTATTTACTTCACTTAATATGATCATCTCTAGATCCATCCATATTGCTACAAATGGCATTCTTTCATTTTTTATGGCAGAGTAATATTCCATAGCATATATGTACTGCATCAACTTTATTCATTCATCTGTGGATAGACATTGAGGTTGTTTTTATGTTTTGGCTATTGTAAATAATGCTGCGCTGAACATGGGGTGCATGTATCTCTTTTTGGATATATGCTCAGGAATGGGGTTGCTGGATCATATAGTAGTTCTATCTGTAGTATTTTAAGGAACCTCCGTACTGTTCTCCATAGTGGCAGCACCAATTGACATTCCCAGCATCAGTGTAGGAGGGTTCCCTTTTTACCACACCATCTCCAGCATTTATTATTTGTAGAATGTCTAACAATGGCCTCTCTGGCTAATGTAAGATGGTACCCCACTGTAGTTCTGAGTTGCATATCCCTCATAATAAGTGATGCTGAGCGTCTTTTCATGTGCCTGCTGACCATCACACTCATGGCTTTGTGAAGATGGTTCCTGGGTTGAGAAGCCCAGGTAACTGAGACAACGGGTCGTAAAATCAGATTATTTGTTCTCAAAAAGAAAAAAGAGAGGCTTTCATTCCAAAGATATTATGAAGCCAAAGAGGAGGTTCCCTACCCCTTCCAAATCTAATCTGCTGCCCCTGAAGCCCATCTCTAATCTCCCTGCCACTTGCCTCCAACTCCCAGCACACACAAGCTTCTGCTTCCTCCTCACTCCAAACAGAACCACTGACCGGATTTGCCAGGAACCGTCCAGGCTGAATGCCACACAGACACTGGATATGAGCCCCAGCCTCACAGGCTTGATGGGGTGGGGCCTCAGAACGGTGGTGGGGGGAACACCAGAGGGAGGAGGGCCACCAGGAGAAGGGGGCACCTAGGAGGGTGCAAGGGATGTGGCTGCCATTTCAGGGGTACAGGTCATGATACCGCAGGGCACTGCAAAGATCCCACGGGCCCAAACCGGGGAGGTCCTGAACCCCGCCATCCAGAACCCTACGTGTTATCCCACAAAACATACAGAGCCCCTGGGCAATTCTCAACAGGCACGCTGACTCACAGGATTTCTCTTTCAGCCCCTTGGGGAGACAGTGGGGGAAGGGAGGTAAGTGGAAATCTCCTTCCTGTCTTCTAGGGAACCTGAGTGCCTCACGTGTGGCCGCGTCTCCGCAGCATCACCGGACGCCGGAAGATCCACAGTGCTTCCCCAGAGCAGTCCACACACCAGATACGGTCCCACAGCAGGAAAACTGTCACTGAGATGGACCCTGCAGGGTCTGAGCATCCTTCTGTGTCACCCCATCCCCAAATCTGAAACTGATGGGCCCATTTCAGAGACCTGCTCCCAGGGAGAGGCAAGGTGTCCAGTGTTTCCTGGAACACGGGTGACCACGAGGATGCGCCAAGAGTACGGAGCATCATTTTACAGGAGAGTCCCCATGTTCACTGTGCTGTCAGCAGGAGCTAACACGACGTTGTAGAGCAATCATAGTCCAATAAAAGGATGACAGGAGAAAAGTAAAAGTGGCAATGATTTTAACTTTTAAAAAGCATAACCTTTCTGGAAACTAATTTGCAACTGGCAATCAAAAACCTTTCAAAAGATATATGCCCTCTGGCCCGGCAATTCCAAATCTAGGAATGTACACTAGATAAACAATGGTGTATATGTACAAAGTGAAAGTAGCTTAGTCACTTTGTCCAACTCTTTGTGACCCCATGGGCTATACAGTCCATGGAATTCTCCAGGCCAAAATACTGGAGTGGGTAGCTGTTCCCCTCTCCAGGGTATCTTCCCAACCCAGGGATCGAACCCAGGTCTCCCACATTGCAGGCAGATGCTTTACCAGCTGAGCCACCAGGGAAGCCCATATGTACAAAGGTATAGCTTTAAAAGGATGTAAAAAAAAAAAGGATGTCCATTTCACCACTACATTGTTTGAAATAAAGAAAATTTATTTGTTAATGTACAAATCGTGTATTACTTAGATGTCCAATAATATGCAATTTGTACATTATGATAAAATAGTTTGATGAGTATTGCAGTCATTAAAAATAATATTATTACAACCATTTCATGGAAGATACAATATGTTAAGTAAAATGCACAGGTTATAAAATATTATACTCATTTATGAAAATATATATTTATATTAAATAAATGCATTTGTGTAAAAATAAAAAACAAATCAAGGTTACAGACAGTGGCCAGACCTGCCCACTTCAAGGGGAGATGTTCAGGCTCTCTCATGGCAAGTTTGCACTCCTGGCAGCTGGGGTGGGGGGTGCAGCTCACAGGCTGGGGAAGTGAACACATTTCCTGCCCCCCAGGTGGCATGCACATTGTCCCCTGAAACAAATAAATGTGGCCAAGGACACCCCACTTCTATCCACGGTTAAAAAATAGAGGCTCCTTCCTTCTCTTGCCTCAACAAAGAAATCCAGGTGGCCAAGCCACTGCAGCAAGTCTGCTGAAAAATCATCTCTCACCCTACTTCATACTGTCCAACAGTATGGAATTTTATACACATGACATAAGGTCTTTTCACTCAAGATATGTCTCCCCGTTTATTCGAGCCTTAAATGTCAACAGCACTGTGGGTTTCTTCATAGCTGTAGATACAGGAAGCTTATTCTAAGACGTTTTAGTTTTTGTAGCCATGGGGAATAGATTTTCTCTATGTTATATACCTGTTGTTGGTACATAAAAAAAAAAATCCCTACTGATCTTGTAAAAGCCTTTTTATTTTGCTTGTTATTTTTGGCTGTGCTGCGTCTTACTGCTCGAGCTTTTCCTAATCAGGACGAGTAGGGGCTGCTCTCTAGTTGTGGTGCATGGGCTTCTCACTGCAGTGGCTTCCCTTGTTGGGCAGCATGGGTTTTAGTAAAGAGGCATGCGGGCTCATTAGTTTTGGCTTCCAGGCTCTAGAGCACAGGCTTAATAGCTGAAACACAAAGGCTTAGTTGCCCCGTGGCATGTGGGATCTTCCTGGATCAGGGATCGAACACATGTCTCCTGCATCAGCAGGCAGATTCTTTACTGCTGGGCCACCTGGGAAGCCTGAAAAGCCCATTTTGAAATTTCAGTAATTTTAGTTGATCATTTGATTCTTTTTTCCAGCATTCTGTCTGGCTGCACTGCGCTTCCATTTACATGACAGAGGTACTGGGGCATTCCCTGATTTATTCCCAATTGTAATGAAAATGCCTTTACTTTTTAAAAATTATTATTTATTGGAGTCTACTTGCTTTACAGTGTTGTTAGTATCTGCTGCACAGCAAAGTGAATCAGCTACACATAAACATACACCCCCTCTTTTTTGGATTTCCTTCCCATTTAGGTCACCACAGAGCAAGGGACTGTCATACAGGCTTCCCAGGTGGTGCTAGTGGTAAAGAGCCCACCTCTCAATGCAGGAGACATAAAAGATGCGGATTCGATCCCTGGGTCAGGAAGATCCCTGGAGGAAGGCATAGCAACCTACTCCAGTACTCTTGCCTGCAAAATCCCATGGACAGAGGAGCCTGGCAGGCTGCAGTCCACAGGGTCACAGGATCGGACATAACTGAAATGACTGAGCACACACACACAGAGTGAAGTAAGTCATAAAGAAAAAACCAAATATCATATATTAAAGAAAATGTCTTTCCTTTTTACTCAGGGCTGGCCCAGGGTGAGGTAGGCATGACCCTTGCCTCAGGCACAAGATTTAACAGGATGCCAAAAAACTCAGGAATCAAAATAGATACAATGTTAATGCAAAACTTGAAAAAATAAAGATTAATGCCAAAAAAAAATCCACGATGAACAAGATAGTAAAATGTTAATGACAAGATTGATTATTACTGATTTGTTTTTTGGGGGCTCAGGCTCTGATAGGGCTTGGCTGGCCCCTGCGAATGATCCAATTTTTTTTTTTTCAAGTTTTCCCTATTACGGATTT